GTGTGTGTGTGTGTGTTCGTGTGTATATATATATATATATATATATATATATATATATATATATATATATATATATATATATATATATAAATATATATATTTAATAATATATAAATATATATATATATATATATATATATATATACATATATTTATATATATATAAAAATATATATATATTTAAATATATGGATATATATAATATATATATACACACATATATATATATATATATATATATATGTATATATATGTATATATATATATATTCATATATATATATATATATATATATATATATATATATATGTATATATATATATATTTATATATATATAAATATTGTAATGTATATATATATATATATATATATGTGTGTGTGTGTGTGTATGTATGTCTGTGTATGTGCGTGTGTATACATACTTGTATACGCACGCACACACATATGTATATATATACATATTCATATACATACATACATACATACACACACACATATATATATATATATATATAGGGGTATCAAATATAGCAATATAGAAATACATAAATATGGAATTATAGAATATATATATATATATATGTGTGTGTGTGTGTGTTTTGTGTGTGTTTGTGTGTCTGTATATATATATATATATATATGTGTGTGTGTGTGTGTGTTAATGTAGTATATGTATGTATACATATGGATATATGTATAAAAACTCTACAAATCGATATCAATACTTATATATTTTTGTTTATACTATAAAATGCAAAATTGCTCGCCAGATTCGAATATTACGATTCTTGCGTGACTTTTTAAGCAGGCAACCCCTATATTCTTATCAGCCTTTTATATAAAAGAACTAAATAAATCTATGATTTCATGAAGAGTACAGAGAATCAATTACAGCTGTATGTGAAAAAATAACAAAACTATAGCCAGAGTTTAATCGCCTTCCATGTTGCTATTGTTCGCATAGTGGTCACAGGTTAGTCATAAAAGTCGGAACACGATGAATCTAGAAATTGTATTCAAAATCACACCTATGTATTTCTATAAAACGTCGCTAGAATGTAACGTAGCTAGAATTAAAGTTACATTGCATTTCAGATACAATCAAAGGCAATATAATTCCGCATATATTTGCACACGTTATATACTAATTCACATGCATGCACTTGCGTTCCGATGATTTACTTACCAGTCTGTAAATTTCTGCTCAGAGCTTCGCCTTTCGCCCCCAGATTCATAACCAGCCTTTTAATACCTTCCTTATCCGTGAAGCTGGCAACAGGACACAGCCCTTGCACAATACCTGTGAACACCATACTGAATAACAATGCAATAATGATTCGTATTTGATATTCACGAGTTGCTATTTATAGTATAGATGTGTAAATAATATCGCCCGTTTCAGCCAAGTCCCACAATGACACAACCCCAGTCATGAGCGAATCCTGCGGTTAAACAGTGACGTCGTGGATTTATGACGTAATAGAATTTATCGGTGCTCGGTTGCTGTTTTTCTTGAATAGAATACACACGGGACACAGTGAACACACCGTTCAGGGTTCTCTAGGGTTACTGTTGGTCGAAATCCCCTCGAAACCCTAATGCCGAGCACATACCACGCCACAGTACCAATTGAATGGCTCCAATTCCTGCCAACGCACTTATGTAGGGCCTTTCCGCCTTCTCGGCACATAAGAAGGGGAGCAGTACTTTGTTTATACATACATATTCAATATTCAACGACGAAGGTCAAGGTCGTGACTTCTTTGACTTTGCTCTTCGAGGCCAGTTGCCAGCACACTCTTTTATTAGTTATAAACTTATATACATATCTAACTTCGATACAGTTTGATTTAATATAACCCTGACTGCTCGTTCTTTGGTGGGTTGAATGTAGTATTGGAATCCACGTATACGCCTGAACGTATTAAGGTGGTTGGCCTTCGATTGTTGACGTTCATTAATTACTTCATAGGTGTCAAGCGCACTTTTAGGGGCGATAGTAGTCAAAGATACCAAAAAAAAAAATGCCTTTCTCTTCTTGGGAACACACTGAGTATGTGTCCGATAACCTGGGCGAGGAGCTCACAGACGCCGTCGAACAGATGTTGTCCGCGGCAATTCAACATCATGGGCGCAATCGTGAGCGTATCTTGGACTCACTATTCCGATGGTTGTGTCGACCTATCAAAGTGGTGGCACGAGCAAAAGAGAAATTATTTAGGAACCCTTCTCTGCTAAGTAATGTGAATAATATGAAGCGATTGGATTCTGAATTTGCCAGCAGCGCTGATGATTTGGCTAAGCTGTCAGTAAACAAAACAATGGTATGTTTTAGGGTCGAGTAGACGGGAGTGACTGAGTGTAAGGCTGGTGTTACTACGCTTGTTATTAGAGTTAGTCATGTTTAGTGATACTTCTATGAAGCCTGAAATACAAACTTACACACACACAAAACATGCATATAAATACATATACAAACATACA